TGCCCTGTGGATCTGGACTCCAATAGCAGCACACTACCCCTTGGCTCATGTTTAGTTAGCCTGGTGTTATCTCCTTTCCCCTTCGAACCTAATTTAAAACCCTCTCTATAAGCCCTGCCAGCTCCTGGGCTAGAATCCTTTTCCCCCTTTGGGACAGGCATAACCCACCTGCTGCCAGCAGGCTTGGTGTTGTGTAGACTGACCTGTGGTCAAAAACCCCAGAATTCTGGTGCTGACACCAGTCACAGAGCTAGAAATTAATTGATGAGATTTTTCAGCCTACGGTTTTCGAAGGCACCTAAGGCATCTACAATTTTTTATCATAAGTGAATCATTTTGGTACACAAACATTCACTGCAATTTTCTGTCAATCTTTTATATTTGTAGTTATTGAGTTTTTATTTGGAATTCATAGTGTTTTCTATTTTTATCTTGGCTTCAGTTTTCTTAGATTTAAAATCAGGGTTTTGAGATCAATTAATTTTTAAACAGCTTGTGAACACGTCTCCATTTTAATTACTTTGCTGAAGCAAAATCCCACTGGGCAAAAATGTCATTCTTCTGTGACACTTGTTCAAGTGCATTATATGTAATTATTATGTTTTTCATTTGGACTGTGTTTTCCTGGCAACTATTTATCTGAAGGTTCTCAAAATAATGTGCCAGCAACTTATGTAAACCCACAACCAATAATAATGAATATTTTTCACATTAATTTGAATTTATCTTGGCATCTTGTAATACCATCCAGTGCATTGGCAAACAAATATCAAATGATTTAATTTAGAATGTCCTCCAAATTTTGTTTCCTTTCAGTGGAAATCCCCTGCAAGCTATGTCTATAATTTTGAGACATCACAGAAATGAACAAAAGATTTTCCAGATGTTTAACATCTTGCATATTACCGCATATGTTAACGGGTATCTGGTGGCGAGTCCTGTCAGACACGTGGAAATAAAGAGCTGAATACAGACACTGTGTTTATTTGGAAGGGCATGTATTATGTCCTCTATTATTAATCTTTCAGTTTCCTGAAGAAGGCATAAGAAAATATTTCTTTGAGAAGTTTCTTTCATAAAAGCCCTACAAAAACAGTTAACAAATAAGGGGCTTAGGTCAAAATGTAGTAAAAGATTTGAGTCTGCAGGCCCCAGCACAGTGCATGAAGGGCATCTGGTGCACCAGACATGATGCAGGGCAGCCTGCATGCCGAGCCAGCATCCACTGTTGTTGTTCTGACATAGTCACTGGCTACATTAGAGCTGTAAATTACATATTTTAAAATATTCCTGTAAGCAGGAACTGGACCCCAGGCTTTCCTGGTCTCTTTGGTAAGGTGGCTGCCTGGCCCTTCTCACCAAGGGGCATCTTCTTTGCCCTCTGAGGGCACTTAGCCCCATAACACAAGGGTCTGCCCAGAATTGACTTGTCTAACATAGGCGTCTAATTCAGACATGATTCATAAAACCAAGAGTCTGTGTTTCCTTTATGGCAAACAGAATAGGTGCCTTCGAGCTTTTCTGAGGAATTAAGTACCTAAAATAGCCTAGATAAGCTGATGTACTTCTTGCTCTGCTCCTTTATTCACGCATAACCTTTTTATTTGCAATAAGATCTTTCTGAATCCTGAGTTTTTATACAACAAACATCTACCAAAAACTGCCTCCCAACAGTTTTTATTACATCTGTTGAACCTTAGTAACACCAAGATCAGAGTGAATCCCCCTCATTTGCCACTCAGTAATAATAAATGTTATGCATCTTAAGCCAGTTGTGTTTCAGTTTGCTCCTGCTCTCAAAGCCCTCTCTGTATTTTATCCAAGAGTTCGTTATCCAAGACTTCTTTAAACTAAAAAGCATTCCAGCCCCCATAGGAAACACAAAGCAAATATGCTGATGTATGTGTATACAGGATAAATATCACTATCATAATAAACTTTCAAATAAATTACCCAAATCTGAAGAGGAAGGAAGGCGATATTACCTTTACTGCTATTCCTTCTCAGATTTTCTAAAACCATGGCTCAGAAACCATGTCTAACCTATGGGATCCAGGAGCACTTCCCAGCCTCCCTGTCTTAATGTATGCCTCCTACGCTCTGATGTGAAGTCAGAGGCATAGGCCCAATCCTTCTTTCTATGACACCAGGAAGGTATAGCAGCTGCCTTCCACCTCCACTGGAAGAAACCTAAGCATGCTGACCAAAACCAAGCTGCTGGTTGGGTTCCCATTCTGGACACCTGAATATTCAGAATGCCAGGCCATACCAGGGACCTGCTCGATAATGCAAGCACAAACTTAGGATCCTTAGACACAAGAAAGCTCTGTAATCTGCTCCTGTTGGGTCTTGGCACCAATGATCTTTGAGTTGCTTAGGCTGGGCTAGTTTTTGACACACCCAGAGAGAGAACTGGAAGCAGCTGAGGAAAGCCACATGAGTGGAATTTGGTGAGCTGGAGGGAGGGAAGTCAGACTGTAATTTTGTACTGCTCTTGGCAGCAAACTCCTCTCTTGAATCTTGTCCATATTTTCTGAAATGTGTTTAACTTACCTTTTGTGCAAGAGGTGCTGGAGAAGCGATGTTGGTTCTGCATCCTTGGACAGGCACCACAGCAGGTGGCAGAACCAAAGTTCCTCTGAGTCCATCAACTGGGATCTTATACTACTGGATGGTGCTGCAACACTGTAAACACCTCTATTGCTGCCTGCTACAGTCAGGTGAGACATTCCCCTAGCTCTGTATTTTGTCTCCAAACTATGGTACTGACCACATCCTCAGTGGGTGAATGTAACGAAAACGCCATCCTGATTTACCCTCCTATTTCCCACTGAGCAGCAGTCCAGAGGCTTAGTGAGCTGTAGGTTGCCACTGGTTCAGCTAAGCTCCATTATTTCTACTTTAGGTTTTGCAATGACTCTTAACAAGTTCCATAACCAATTCCACACTTTGTGAAAGTGGACTTCATTTCTTGTTTATTTTGCATCTTTCTCCTGGAAAAGATGAAGAATAGTTACTGCTAATGCAAACTGAGCAGCCTTGGCACCAGATAGTACTGTCTACTCAGATTCCAGGCTTAAGGGTCTGATAAAACTTCAGTGAAACTAATGGGAATCCTTCCAGAGCAGCATTACCTAAAAGGCGTGGACATACTGCACTCCTAGAATCCCATAGGAACATAATCCTATTCATCCCTTTACTACAGAATGATTAACAAAAAGGTCTACAAAATCTAATTATTTCACAATACTAAACTGCTTCCAATGCATTCCCAGATGTCAAATTCCCTCTACATTGCCAATGCAGGAGCCAAACCCTTCGTCTTCTCTCTTTTAGTTTCCACTGTGCACAAAGGGATGCATGATTACAAAAATGTGTAGTGGCATAAATGAATATGAAAGTAGGAGAAAGATAAAATACAATGAAGTATTAACCATTAATTCAGGGAAAATCTAGCACTATGATAAACAGTGCCTAATCATGGATGTGTTTAAGTCACTGCTGAAATTTAATGTGTGAGGCATGAAGAGGCAAAATAAGGAGGGCTGAAGAAAGATCAGCACTGCAAGGGCCATTTAAGTAAATCATTATACTCCCATTATCACAGTTAAGTAAAAGTAAACAACAGTTGTTTATAAATATCTCATTTTTATACTGCCTATTCCAGTACTTGCTATACTGCTCAAAAGCTTAGCCCCTGGAAACACAGGATATCAGCTTCCCAGCTGCCATTTTGTTATCCTCTTAAAGCAGCCTTTAAAAATGGGAACATGAAGCAAACTCACTCAAAACCCTCAAAAGCCAGGGACTAACCAAGCCACTGAGGTGTTTTTTAATGCCATGGCTTTCAGAAAATCTCCTAAGTGTCTTTGTCTCTGGGTTTAATTACAGAAGTTAGAAATACTGGAACAGAGGCTGTGACAATGACCAAACTTATGAGTCAAATTAACAAGCAGCAAATCATTCACAACAGAGGTTAACTCTACATAAAAGAAACATACAGGGGGGATAGAATATCTCAAGGAGACAATCAGAATGAGGAACGAGCTCATCACAAGATTCAGGAAGGTAGAAAGCATGCGTTGCAGTGATATTTCTGGGTTGTGTGTTTCCAGTGCTAACTACAAGTAAGAAACAAAGCACTCCTCCAGTGGAGCAGGTTTACTGAGAAGCTCTAGATGGCTGCTCTAACTTCTAGGAAAGGCGGCCATTAAACTGCTGCTATCCCACAGCCTCCACAGGCCTGAGTCACTCTAAGCTCAGATATGGGAACTGTACCTTTCAACTTCAAATGTCAGCTCCTCTAAAACCATCCTTCTCTAAATCCTCTTCCTTTCATGGGCTGCTTACTGTGTTCCTACTACACCTGTTAGATCAGTTAAACAAAATTCAGAGAAAGCAACTTGGTAGCAATTCTTTCCTACATACCATATCAGTTTTAATTTACACTTTAATGTATGTTATTATCAGATCAGAAACAGCTAGGGCTATATGTGAATTCACATATATCAACATGAACACCAAAACTTAGGAAAAGGGAAATGTAATTCAGACACAGTGATTTTATTTTACTGACTTTGGTATTATAATCCTGATCACTGTAGTTATAAGGAATGCATAGAACCGAGCATTCCTACACACTTAATCCTAAGGACTGATATGGAAAATAATAGACTTATAAATGCTGTGGACATGAGAGACAAAAGTGTATGCCCTGTCCCCACCGACCCTGCATCTCATTTTTATCCATTACTTTAGTTGAAAGCCTGCATGGGAAGTGCTCAGAAAGCCATATAATCCAAAACGAGTATGTCCTGGCACAAAATTATGGGGCTATGGATGGCTTTCAATGGGATACCAGCACTAAATCCAGTCTCATTTCTCTGTTCAAAACAGCAAATTGATTGGCACACAACACCTCACTGAGGATGTTTATGGCATATTTTGCAGTCATACATAGCCAAAGCAGTCATGTTTTGAACCTGTAAGTTACTCACACATTTTTCACTTTAAATAAACCTGTAGTTTTATTGTACGATAGTACAGCATGTGCCTTTTTAGCCAAAAGCTCAGCATCACACAACACTTTAATCTTCCATTTAAACATACACATTCCTACAACACAGCTCAGTTCACCTAGGAAAACTACATAACGAGAGTCCTGGCTACAGTGTTTTTAAGGATGTTTACTTACAGCAAGAACAGTGGCAGTGATTCTGGTGTTGTAACATTTAATTACTTTAACCTGTTCTCAGCACAGCAATAGCAAGAAGTCATTGAGCAAAACAAAGAGATCATTTAGGGGACACCACATTTGCTCACAAATGAAACAGTAGACCAGAGGATCTCACACATGTATACAAGTACAGATTAGAAATCTGTTACGAGATCATTTTGATGTAATGTCTACACTAACTATGCCACACAATCCATCACACAGGAAGACTGGATGCATGACAGGCATTTCACCATGTAGTAATATAGTTTGGGTTGAAATTGTTAGGTTTGAAAGGGGCAGAGGAGGGCATTCTGTACAAATATACACTTGCCTTATTACATTAGTTTACAGGTCAGAAACACTCCTGTAGCCATTTGCCCACTTGCCAGCAGCCTCCTGTTACAATTTGCTTTTAGATGGTTTGCTTCAATTTTATATGATTCAGCTGAAAACAGTATTGTTATTTCCAGACAGAGTGTTTTCTGTGTTATGTGTCTTAGCCTTTCAAATTGTCATAAACACCTGTGCTGGTGTAACTGGGTATCCTTTATGCATGTTCCTGTGCACAACTAGCCACAAGTTGTTATCAAGATATGTTCAGATAAGATTTTTCATTTGCAAAGGGGTTCCTCATTGCAATGGAAATTTGAATTTTATCACTGCATAACAACTTGCTGCAAGTGAAGCTCCCCTGAAGTCTGGAGTTAAATATCTACTACCCAAATGAGCTACAGGTCGCATAGCAAACTCCTGATCAGAGACAGAAACTTTGTTCTATTATTGTTCAGTTTATCTCTGTATGTAAAACCTTAAGTCTGTTATTGCTATTTTTATTTCAAATTCTCAGAAAACATTAATTTCAGTAAATTTTTAAATACCCAAAGGAGGTAAATTTGGATCCTACTCCTAAACATGTGATTTTTCACTTATGGCAGGAGCATGACAGTGTATTGTTGGTTGGTTCTGAATGGTACTGAACTCCTACAGCATCAACTAAAATAATACGTTAATTAAAACACAGACAGTGATACTAAAGAAACAGAGGAAGGAAACTGATATCAAACATCTGATCTTGAATTAAAATAGACCAGCAATAGTGTGTAATCTTTCAAACAGATGAGATGTTTAGCTGCTATCAAGTAGCATACCAGCAGTGGTTTCGGGAGAATTATACCAAACTTGCACCCACTATGATTCACATGTATTCCCTGACTCCACAAATTTCACTCATCTTAGGCAAAAATACTGAAACAAGTTAATTCAAACATACTAAAAAAATGGGGGGAAGGGGACCTTTTTTAATCAAAGTTACTTTTTTGTACCCTCTTCAAGCCTTTTAGAAAAAAATCACTACACCGAAAAAAATAATTACTTATCCATCATGCTTCTAGTTTTAGATAAGACTAAGCAGCAGAAGAAACAAAGTTGGAAGCAAAACTGTTCTTGGCTAAGTGCATGTCGTCAGAAGACTTCCAGTTCATTGTCTAAACTGTAATGTTTTGGTAGCTTTCAGTGAAGTTACAAACTTTCAGCTGATCATCTAGACACCACTGACACATGGAAAGATTGTTCAAAAAGATAGTTATCTATTTAAAACAGACATCACCTGAAACAATTTTTTTTCTTGCTGTAAAACAACCACAAGCAGTATATTAACAAGATGCACAAACTCTTCTTCTTCTCCCATTTAGAATTTTTTATTTGGTTAATAAGTAAGTAATGAGAAATAACTAAAACCTGACCCTGAAATATCGTTAACAGTTTAAGGAATAAAGTTCTGCTATTTCCTGAATTCACTCCATGCCATCTTTAATAAAAGAGCTTATGCAGATTCCTTCTCCTTACTAAAATTAAGACAGTATATGTTTCTTACACATTAAATAGCCCCAACCAGACACATATGAAATGTTATATTGAATTTTAATCCTTGTAAAACATAATTACACAACACACTTAAGATAAATCTTTTCAATAACACCCATTATAGGACTCAGTAAAGAGCACTTTCTACTACTACGCACTGTCAAGTATTTGTGGCAGTATTGGGAATTGACTACAGCATATTTATTTTTTAAAATCAAGAGTTAACCTACATATTCTGAACTTGCAAATAATACACAAGAGATTGTACTTCCATATCGGCTGCAGAGACATTCACTCTTTTATTTTTATTATTTGTATGTAAGAGTAAATTTTCTGTAACAATATGAATTAAAATTAATAGCTTATTTACTAGCTAAGAGGCTAGTAGTTATTTGTAATCATATTAACCAAAAGATAATTGAAAAATTCAAAGTTAATTATGTGAAGTGCACAAAATCTAGAATATAGGGATTTTCCACAGTACACTATACTAAATCAACATAGAATAGTTAAAAGCTGTAAAGCCAAAATCTTAATTTAAAAATTTAGAGTTTCTGACATCATCTTCCACCATTCCATCAACTCTTCTTTCTCCTCTTCTTTTCTTTCAGACAATGACTCCAGTTCAAAATCAACCTAAGAGAAACAATCAAAAACATTGGTAAGACTTGTAGAAAGAAAGTCATTTATTGTAAGAGTTATTTATTCTAAGTAGTTTAACACAGACATGGGGCTTAGGGAGATACCTGCCATTTTAGGTTCAGTTTATTCCAAAGTCTCTCGAGGCTGATTTAAATATGTGTAATGCTAGAGTATCAGTACAATAAACTTATGTGGTAGGCAAAATTAAAAAAAAAAAAAAGACTTTTTCATATGAAATAGTCAATAAAGCAATACATATGAGCACTTACCACAACTGCAGGGCTAAAGGGCACGGCAACTTTTTTGGTTATTGCTAGATAGCCTGGTGCTGAGGCTGTAAGTTTGTAATTTCCAGGCACAAGCAATCTCCAGTAATCACCATCCTTGGCTGTAAAGAACAAGGAAAAAAAGAATCCAAATAAATAGGTATAAAATTAATTATGCAGCTAATGGAAAGGGAATGTATATCTTGTCAGAGCCTTTTGTATTCCTGTTAGCCCTTTCCTTTTGACTTTTCCTTTTGCCTGTCTGAAAGTATTCTTCTGTAAGAGCTCTATATGTCATTACAGATTTTCTTCTTTTCAGGTAAACAAAACACAGATTTAAATTCTGAAGCTGTGCTGTAGCCTACATGAAAGATTTTGCCTGCTGAGGCTGAAAGCTCTCCAGCACACTGAAGAAAAGAGTAACATGGGACAAACCTCAGTGTGAACCTCATGAAGTTCAACAAGGCCAAGTGCAAGTTCCTGCACCCGGATCAGAGCAATCCCAAGCACAGAAACATACTGGCCTTAGACTGGATTGAAATGAGCCCTGAGGAGGACTTTGAGGTGTTGGTTGCCGAGAAGCTTAAAATGAGCTAGCAGTGTGTGCTTGCATCCCAGAAAGCCAATTGCATGCTGGGCTAAATTGAAAGGAGCAGGACCAGCAGGTCAAGGGAAGTGATTCTGCCCCTCTACTCTCATGAGACCCCACCTGCAGTACTGCATTCAGCTTTGGGGCCCCCAACACAAGAGGGTTTGAACATGCTCGAGCGAGTCCAGAGGGCCAAGAAGATGATCAAAGGACTGGAGGACCTCTCCTATGAAGACAGGCTGAGAGAGTTGGGCTTGTTCAGCCTGGAGAAGAGAAGTCTTTGGGAAGAGTTTAGAGCAGCTCCAGTGCCTAAAGGGGACCTGCAAGAAATCTGAAGAGAGGCTATTTAAAAGGGTGTGTAGTGACAGAAGAGTTGGCAATGGTTTTAAACTGACAGAGGGGAGATTTAGATTAGACATTAGGAAGAAATTCTTTACTGAGAGTGGTGAGACACCGGCACAGGTTGCTGCCCCATCCCTGGCAGTGTTCAAGGCCAGGTGGGATGGCGCTTTGAGCAACCTGGTCTACTGGAAGCTATCTCTGCCTGTGGCAGGAAGGAGACTGGAACTAAATGGTCTTTAAGGTCCTTTCCAACCCTGATCCTCCCTGTATCAGCAATGGGCAATTACCTAATTTCTCACACACTAATACCCTGAATTTCTCTATCTCTAGAAAATGTCACAAAGCTGTTCTAAAGGCCATTTAAAAGACTTGGCCATGCTCTTACTGCCAGTTGCTTAAATGCTTTTTCAGCACATCTACAGCTACACAGCTCACAGAGGGAAACTTTACGTAAATGCCTGCAATTCACACAGTTAAAAACATCAGTAGTTGGTCCAATTGTTCCCAGACTTTTCATAAAACAGAAGGGAAAAAAGTACCACTGCAGAGCTATGATAATGATCTAATGATTCCTGGCACCGGAACAAAGCTGAATTTTAACTCATGAACAAAGGAGTGGGGGGAAACAAAAAAGCCAAAGAATATTTATCCTTCTTTTTGAATATGTTAAAACTCAACTACTTGTTTTCCTCAGTGTTTTGACAGTACATGACTTCCAGGCTTATACACACACAGTGATGTGAGAGGATTCCTGGTTAGATGCTTTTCTGTACCACAGCATGAGCTGTAGTACGGTATCCATTACTCCCTTATACCTCAAAATACCTCCTTGCACAGCTTATTCTCTTTTTATTACTCCTGAAAATTGATTTCCAGCCTCTATACTTTTTGCCTTCTTATACATAGTGAAAGAAGGTGGCTAATATTATCACAGACTGTTCTGCCTGGCAGAAATACTGACCTCTTTGCAGGTGGCAAGAGAAAAAACACAAATTAAAGCCAACTGAAGGGTCTACCAGTCCTGTTTCATAGTATTATACATCTCTGACAGTACATAATGTTGAGAAAATTACCATAATGAAAGCTCATGCATAAAACAGTAACATTTTATTACTGTTTCTCTAATTAGAATCACAGAATCATTAGGGTTGGAAGGGACCTCTGGGGGTCATCTAGTCTAAACCCCTGTCAAGGCAGGGCCACCCACAGCAGGTTGCACAGAAACGTGTTCAGGCGGGTTTTGAATGTCTCCGTTCCACAACCTCCCTGGGCAGCCCATTCCAGTGCTCTGCCACCGTCAACGTAAAGAAGTTCTTCCTTATGTTGAGGTGAAACTTCTTGTGGCTTAGCTTATGGCCATTGCTTCTTGTCCTGTCACGGGCACACCTGAAAAGAATCTGCCATCATCCTCCTGGCACCTGCTCTTGAGATATTTATATGCATTAATGAGATCCCCTCTCAGTTTTCTCTTCTCTAGACTAAACAGGCAGAGCTCCCACAATCTCTCATACAAAAGATTCTCCAAACCCCTGATCATCCTCATGGCCCTCTGCTGGACCATTTCCAGTAGCTCCTTATCTTTCTTGTACTGAGGAGGCCAGAACTAGACACAGCACTCCACATGTGGCCTCACGAGGGTCCAGTATAGAAGGATTACCTCCCTCGACCTGCTGGCCACAGTCCTACTAGTGCACCCCAGGATACTATTGGCCCTCTTCGCCACAAAGGCACACTACTGGCTCATAGTCAACTTCTCATCTACCAATACTCCCAGGAGTATTGTGCAAATAAAACAAAATGGTCATTCAGAATAAGAAAACAGGTCTACAAGGAAGACTGCAAGTTTAGTGTGGGCTACATTTGAATTGATTCCTAGAACAAAGGACCACCATCGAAGAAGTGACACATAATTTTCTACAAACAGCAGCACAATAATTTTTTCTTTTAGAACTGCTCTTCTAAAACAAGGTCGCATAATTGTAAACAGTAGAGAGAATTTATCTTTGCAGAAGTAAGTTATGTAAACTGAAAATCTGACAAGAATTTGCACAAAAAAAGGTTTGACTGCACTGTAAGTAATATAACACTTTTGGACTACAATTTAGCCTTGAAACTCAAAATGGCACTGACGATAGGACTTCAAATCATGATAGAGCTGTGAAACTTGCACCACAAATCAGAAAACAAACTCAGCACAAATAACGAGCAGCCACCAGAACCAATTCACTCCAGAGATCCATGAAATCCCAACAACCAGTCTCAGCTGGTCTGAGAGCAAAATACAAGAGAAAAATAAATGAAATCCTGCAGGCAGTGAGGCACAACATACTTTCCTGGCATCAAAATTTTGCTCCCTTAAAGTTTCAGATAGTAGGATATGAAATGGTTCCATGCTGCCAAGCAGAGGGAGGAGCAGTATATTCCATCACTTCTTGTTTTGCTGAGGCTCACCTGATGTAATGTCGTGGCTTATCCCCTCCACAGAAATCGTAGCATTTGCTATTGGATTGCCCTGAAGGTCTTTAACAAATCCCTTCACTCCTCGATGAATCTAAAATAAATAAATAAAATCAGAAATACATGCAAAATCACAGGAAATTTTCATTCATAAAGAAGGCCTTTTCATCAGCAAGACGCCTATTGATCTCTAACAATGCGCATTACGAATCCCATGGTCTACATGCCGACACCTACCAAGGATAATTACTAACCATCATAATAGAACAAACAGTGAAAAGGAAAAATAATTCAGCTGGTAATTGTATTAATTCCTCTGTGCAATGAAAGCATTTCTCAGAAATACGCAGCAAATAATAATATATATGAACAATGACTTGAAAGTCATTCTCACTGTGGATTAACCTCAGATTAACCACTGTGCTTTGAAAGACAGCCTAATAGAAAAAAACTTTTTTTTTTTTTAAAGTTTTATCAGATGGAAGAATTTAGGGTAATAATGGACATAACTTCTTAAAAGGGAAACATTAACAAGGTTAAATGAGGCCACTTGGACGTTGATGGGCAACCCGTGTGAGATGCTTCAGCTCTCTACTGTGCACCCAAAGCATCCAGATCTTTGAGCTGGGACCTCATAGAATCACAACATTCCCTACAAGGCCTGTGACAGAAAGGTGACGGTGCATCGTGTCCTAGTTTCTTCTTGCCTCTTAGACAACATACACCAGGCAACAGCACCAGCAGTACCTAACCTTCCTGCTCCCAGCACATATGAGTTTAAAGCACTGATTTAATTACAGTGTGTGTAGACCAGTCCTGCCCGTATTCTTTAAGCATAACCTGAAAGCAGCGCTCCTCAAAGTCAAAAAGCTGAGTTCAACTACTTTTTCGCTGCCTGAGATAGGGAGCTCTCAGCCCCAGAGAATGTGACAATTTGAACCTGTGCAGAGATGCATCTCACTGGGAGCCTGGAAACTAAATGTGGAAGTACTGTGGAGTTAGGCTTATCTAATTTCGTGATATTTGAAAAGACTTATGGAAAACAAAGTTTATTTTGAGATTTTGATATTTCCCTTTATGAATCTATATAGTGTATTCAGCTGCTATGATTTTATTCATCAGAATCCTCTGATTTACCCCATCAGAAGCCTGATACAGATCAACTTAGAAAAGCAGAAAGTACATATTTGCACCATTCTCAACAATTACGGGGGAGCTGAAGCACAGAGATGCACCTCTTACCGTGTAAGAGGATAAAAAGCAATGCCAGATAGACCATCTGAACTTCAAGGTTAAAGCCAGCAGCTCCACAGGAGCAAAGGAAGTTGGCAAAATAATCTCTTACACATTTGTAATTTTTTAAAATGCATTGACACCACAGTTTTTCGTGAGTCAGAAAATTAATCCACATGAGAAGGAGCTGAACAATTTGAGATGGACCCCATAATAAATGGGTAAAAACCTGCAGGGTGGGTAGAGCCTTTTCCTCGGGCCACATACAAATCACTAGCAGAATGATATGACTCAAACATTTCAAAATACTCAAATACTTCGGATTTCTGGCTAGCTAAAGCATTTCTGCACAAATAAGCTCTTAAAGAAATTAATGTATGAAGTGTCTGGCTCTGCTATCAAAGTATGTTTCAGATTTCACAATCCCACATGTGCAGCCATTAACAATATCAGATATATTTGTGTCCTTTAACTACAATATCCAGGTCTCAGGAATTCAATACTCCCACACTGCTTGGAAGCCTCATTTCCATGCAGCCGGTTACACTGGCATGATATGATAAAAACCAAAAACAAACCAACAGAAAAAAAGAACAACATACACAAATCCTCCCAAGTTTATTTCAGCATCTTAACACCTAACAACCCATTAGTGCAATATTATCTAAATCAGAGAGCAGCAGAATATCTAGAAAACCAGGATTAGAGATGTCCCCTAACACTACACTGAACTGCTAGGCACCTGAAGTCTAATCCAGCTGTCTAGGCCCCCTATACGTACACAGTGATCCATCCCACGTCTGTACACACGGTTTCGTATCTGTAGAGGCAATCCATCCATCTCTCTTAGTATACACACTAGTGCTGGTGGAATGAATTATACTCCCTGGTGATGTGTATCTCTTTTCATTGAGGAAGCTAACACTAATAATTTAAATTAAATATCTGCAGGAGCCTAAATAAGGTGATACTCCACACCATAACATCTTATTTCTTTTCCCCTCTTCTTCCACATGATTAGAAAGATTACATAGGATTTACCACCTTGGAGACATACAAGAACTATGGAATACCAATTGGATTAATATGAAATTTTGAATTAGATGTTCACACAACATAATGTTTAGCAATTTTATGCAAATAACTAAAGTTTTGCCATCCTCTTTTCTGTTACCTGTTCGATGTAATTGATAAGAGAGTTCTTGTTGTCCTCCCAGTAGCCCTTCAGAGTTTCTTCAGGTGGGAATTTTTCACAGCTAAGCTCCACTGTGATTTCAAAGCAGTTGCTGCTGAGGTAATTGAAATCCTGCATCCCTGCAATGCCAAAAACGAAAGAGAATTAGTGATGCATTTTGCATTCTTCTGGAATAAATAAAGGGGAACACATGTGATGCTTAATACACCTATTAAGAAAAGAATAGGCATAAATACAGTTGGTACAGTTCTTAATTCAGAAGCTTTAAACTGGAGAAACCAGATAGATAATTAAGTTCCCAAAAATTTTCTTCCCAGGTAAAGTTTGGAAAAGACTTGACACCTTGCCTGTATACTTCTACCTGATGCTGCACCTGGCTGGTACACTTCTACCTGACACATGGTTTTGGGTAGCTGACAAAATATTTTTTAATCTCTTCGGGAATAGAAAATTATTTCCAATTTTGCCTAAAATATTTCCATATGAAAGTAAAAGAAGATCACCTTTGTAAGCCAAGAAGAATGACAATGAATTATAAAGCAAATGAAACATGATGAAGTGACTTTGAAAAAGGGATTTATAAAGATGGGTTAACAACATATTGGTTTGGGGTTTTTTTTCTGAAAATGTCAAGTTTCAACTTAGTTACATTTTACACTAAAAATATACATTTGCTAAGGAATATTGTTTTTCTAGCTTTTCTGCATAGATTCCAAGCTTTAAAAACAAACAAACAAACAAACAAAACCCAATCAACCAAATCCCAAAACAAACTTCGTCTAAAATTTATTTACATGGGTTTTTTTCCATGGGTAGGAGTATTTCCCACCCATTCAATGCTTCTACAAAATCAGTACTGAATAGCCTTCAATAAAGAAGAAAAAAGAAACATTACTGTTAATGCAACTTTAGTCATAGGAATTTAAATATATATATATAATAGCGTCATCACAGTAATAAAAACTTGATGGGAAAGATGCACTCTTTTACATTTCTGTGTCCCTTCTCTTACTACATGGAAATATTGGCTATTTTCTCAAATCAGTGAACTGGTAACCAAAGGAGTTTCTAGCATTGTAACTGGATGAACCAGCTAGGGAGGGACTGTAGCTCTCCCCAGGAGAGTTATAAATATATTTTTTGCAGAAGCTGATGTAGAATTAGCTCTTGATTCCCAGCCTATCTAGCTAGCAGAGTAATTGGATTCTCAAATGGAAGACTGAAAAGAAAAAGACTATCAAGCATTTTGAGCATCCCCATGGAGGTCAACAGGGGATTGAAAAGAGATTCAAACACAGCTAATTCATTCAGCCCTATATCCCCCCGTGCAAGCTACGTAAGAGACCTAATGCAGTCTCCTTACTGAAACACCAGTGTTATTCACCAGTCCAGAAATGTCCAGAGAGCTGATGTCATATCCAAAAGAGAAGCATGAGGACAGCAAGCAGATTGAGTCAGGCGGGATTTTGCCAACACACCAGGGTGAAGAATCTATTTTCTGCCAACCAGGCAATGAGACTCCTAACCACTGGTAAGAACAGGGATTTTTCAGATTCCTAAAAGAACCTTTTTGTTTCCAAACCTTTCTTAGGTGGTTAAAAAATGAAGACATAGAGGGCAAAGGTGCTCCTGAGAGGGACAGCTTTGATATCCCAACAGACAGAATGCAAGAGGGACCATTCAGCAGTACATACCGATTGAGCAGCAAAGTCATAAGTAAAATCCTGACAGCAGTGCTGACTGCCAGGCATCTGTTCTAGGCATTTGATAATGTTTTTCTTAACTTTTGCCTCCCTTCTACAAGAAAGGAAGGCTCTGTGAAGAGGAGAACTGGGAGCCAAAGGGCACGATGTAATTCTACTGTGGTGTTAGCAGTTCTTGACCATACTACCCCAATTCTCAGCAAGTTCCCCCCTTCCCTTTCCCAAAGAGAGGGATGCCCTAGTTTCTCAAGAACAGAATACAGAAACAATATATTTCCCAGTTTTGTGCGCAATACCCATATCTTATAGTTTCTTTTCTACCTCCTGGTCTGGTCCACAGTCCATATATGTTGTTTCTGAAAAGTTTTCAGACTAAAGCTTCCAAGAAAATTTTCACTTCAACCAATCAATGTTTCATTATTTTCCTTGGCAGTAGACATGGATATAACAGAACTGGTTTTGCTGAATTACTTCTTTTTTCTTAAGTCAGCCTGTGGCAAACACCACCATGGAGGTTTCGTTCAAAAGTACAGCTTGACAGCTGATTTCTACACTTGGGAAAAAAACTAAAAACCCCTACAAACAGATTCATGTTTTATGGTTCAAACTATATGCCATCTCTCCGTTTTTTATAAGTTGTGCCATATTAGGATCATAGATCCTGATTACAACTAGGATTTCTGTCTACTAACTTCTGTACAAATACATGAGAAAAAGAAAGGTCCCAGGGAATTTATGGTCTAAATTAAAATAAGATCCAAAAGGAGGAAATAATTCCAACTTTCCAAAAAAGTCTTTCCAATGGAAAAATGTGCCTTTGGCATGTGCAGTTTAGCAAAATCAAAGCGTTTCATCAAAATAATTGAAAGACTCTTTTTTCAATGCATTTTCCTACAGAAAAAGAAGCTGGAGTTAAATATGCCCATGCTTTTATAGTTAATACCCACTATTTCATTAAGGTAACTTTTTTTCAATAAGGTAACTTTTAACTGAATTGAAACAAATTTTAACTATTAAACCTCCCACTATTCTGATAAAGCTCTGTTTTATCAAAGGCATTTTAATGGTTCCAATTGAAATTCTGTGGAAAGTTTCACACAAAGGGAAATTTTTGCTTTTCAGTCAGTGTTGAGAAATGTCAACATTTTACCTTACACCCAGTCCCTGTAGTTGTGGTACCACAGCAGAGGAAACATGATGCTGCTGTGAAGACTGGGAATGACAGCTCTAAGAATAAGCAGGTGACCGCTGGCTGTGTGAGCCCTACCAGTTGTTTCGTTTTTAATTTCTTTACATGAGCTTAATTATTTTCCTGGTCTAGTACCCACTTTAGTGCAACAGGAGCAGAATTAGGCTACCACCTAGGCTGTGTAATGCTTTGGGAGATTGCTGTTCATTCCAGGTAAAAACTTAATATTCATTCAGAGACTGTAATTGAATATTAGGAGGAAAGCAAACAGTAAGTCTGGTATGTATGTTGAGAGTTATCTGATACAAATCAACGAAGCCAATGCACAGGCAAATCACTCCAATACAAGCTTTGTTTCTAGCTCAGAAATCCCCAAAAGTTTTGTCTGACTTTAGCAGACACAGAGGACTCAAAGATTAAGACAGCCCAACACCTTTTTGCCTCTGTTTACAAAGAAGGTGGCATATAAAAATGCTTAGTGAAAAAGAATTAGATGTCTCATTTCAGGCTGGTCTTCTAGACTTCTCCCAGAAAATTAATCTTGAAATGGCCATAGTAGCTCTGTTGTTCCTTTTAACACAGAAGGCTCTACCCAAGTCTAGCAGAAAACAACCTGGGCAGGAGTCAGACACTAATTAAGCCACAAAGTATGGAGATGCAAGTATCTTCACATCTGGTTTTGTTCCCATGGAAATCAAAAGCGGTTGTCTATAATGCTGCAAAACCAGGCCTCAACATTTCCTCCAAGGTTGGATGCTTTCTTTCATTATTGAGGTTAAAATGAATAGTCAGTAGCCTGCTCTCTCTGATAAGGGTTTGTTAGGGGAGTTTTTAATCTTTATTCTTTTATTTTCTTTAAAAGGCAATAAAACCCCACACACAAACCTTAAGCTCATGTGATAACATAGCAATCACTTGCCCACTGTAGAACTATTAGATTTGCAATAATCTGAGCCCAAACTGCACAAAACACTGTAGAAAAAGCAACAAAAGAGGAATATTTTAACAGACATCACAATGAGCTTTATGGGATTTTACAGATGTGCTGCGATGAGTGATCTGCCTCATATTTAGCATTAACCAGACAAAAATTTTTAGATGAGGTGGTGGTATTCCAAACTACAATTAAAATAATGAAAATTCAAGCTTAAAATAACCACCAGTCACACAGAACTCCCACACAGTGGGACTCACCTCCTGGGACGCTGTACCATGCACCACCATTAGTTGTTCCATCCACAAAGCTGCTATCATCGTCATTTTTACGACACGGTGGTCTGTTTGGATCAGACATAGCGGGATTAAAAGAAGAATAACTGCGAGCCAGGCTTTGGAAAATAGCATCATCGGGGCAGGAGCTGTATTCATGAGCACTGCCTAGGGAAGAAAAAAAGTTCAGGAACAGGGATTATTAAAAGGGCAGTCATACCAACTGGTCTCAAAACCTAGATTACCAATTCTGCACAGCATGACTGTGCCTGGAAATTCTCTGTACACGGGTAAGTGTCCTACAGCATCACAAAGTAATATAGCATTATCTTAATAATGTTAACATTTCCCCAGTACTTCATCAACTGCCTGCAGCAGGTTGCCCCATTACTAAGGTGACCATTAGTATTGGTCAATATTTCTGAAAATATTAATTTAAAAATGCACCAAAATATCTAAGCTATTTTAGGCTTTAGATATTTTCTTAATTAAAAAAAACCCACAGTATGTAGACAAAGGTCTCTCCCTAAAGAGTTTTACAGTCTGACATTAAAAGGATTTGCAATTAAACTGTGAGAAAGCAGATTGAAGGAAGACAATCACAAACAATACCATCATATCATGACCATTTCAACCATGTGCACATTCTCTAGTAGAAGAAAAAGCAAATTAATATTGCTGTGTGCTAAATGAGAACATCTCATCCACAATGTCATCCTTTTAAAATAGGACCAATACTCAGAAAGCTGAGACAACAGTAGTTGTTTCTATTAACACACTACTGCTTCCAGAAAATCACTTTTTAAAGGTGCAAGTAGAGAAACCTTAGGTCATACAGGCAGCCTAGCCACATCTCTATCACTTCAGTTAACAGGGTACGAACAGCCCCAGCTAATTAAAGAGGTAAGTTGCCTTGATTAAAATACGTGAGAGACTATGATTCTCTCAGGTATTGCAGCATTTTTGTGGTGTAACTCTACCAAAGCGAACTATAATCTTCACAACTAGAAAACATGCTCATACAGTGACTAGCTGCAAACATGTGATTACTATGTCAAAATAAGTCATTACAATGCACTGACATGATAGTTATGAAGGGGATCTTAGGTAGCAGGGAAATAAGTGTAAAATGTAATTTCTATCTCCTACTATTTCATGTTAACTTCTATTACATACCACTCCGGGTCTCATCATAAGGGTAGTTTGCAACGAGATCTCCTCCATGAAGATTGGCAGAGAGCACAAAGGGAATATCCATAATCCAGTGAATGACACCTTTTGTTTCAGGAGCAAGCTACAACAATATAGAATTAACAGCAGTTATAAACTGGTAATTCAACACAGAAACTTACCCAATTATATACTGTGGCCTTAATTATTATTACATAGACTGTGAAGACATTTAAATGAACAGCATTTTTATTTTGGCTTCAAAGAGAACTGACAGTCCTTTACATCAGGTTTATAATTATTTAAGTAGATTAATATATGTCTAAAAGTGGTGTAACTTAGTTTAGAATGAGAGCACAAATGAATCAATCTCAATCTTCTACTAAAAAAAAAAAAAAAAAAAAGAAAAACCTACCAAATTTTGAACCAAGGAAAATAATTCAAAACAAAAGTTGGTAGGATGCAGTGTGTTCTCTGCACAGAAAGTAAAATTACTTCACTTAATAATTTGAAGACAGTATATGGCTATTAAGGCCACAAACCTATGGTACTGCAGTCACAACACCGTATTTTCTAGGACCTCCTCTGAGGGTAAACACAAGAAGATAAAAATCCCTCCAGAAACACACTTGCATATTTAAGGCTTAAGCTGAACAAAAATGCATGTGCTGTATGTGAGGATAGCTATATAGCCAACAATGTAATTAAGCACAATACACAAGAGTTTCTGGGAATGGTAAAAATGCAGAATATCTGCAAGAATCACTCCAAATCAAGGGAGAAGGCTGCACAATCTCTGGTCTTAAAATAAAACATGTTTTGAGTGAGGAATTTTCTAAGGATTAAGCAATATGGATCAAAAGACTGTACTGCAGTAATTCATTTTGACAAAACCTTTCAGAAGCATCAGATGGATAGATTTAGCAGAATGAGCAAAGTATTTAGAACTTGAATCATAAAGACACAACTCTTAGAGGTGGTTACATGCCTACTTGCATAAGAGATGGGCATATAAGTGATCCTCTATTCAGTCCCTACTTACTTTAGGATTCTGGTCCACAGCTTTTTTCATGTTTTTCAGTAGATGGTTGTTTGGGCCACCTTCTTTCTCATTAATATAGACTATTCTATCAAGATCAGGGAAATTTCGGTTGAGATCTATCCCTTGGGCATTGCTTCGACCAACAAACCAGTCTTTAAGCTCACCAGGCTGAATAAGGAAAAGAAAGAAAAAGAGAAGGGAGATGAGTACGTTCAGGAGATTACATATCAAGCCTTGTATGGGTGTATTTAGCCATGTAAATTTGAATTATGGGTTTACTTCTCATGTTCTCAAGAATTAGAAGGGATCATGTGACAGTAAAAACTTCTGAAGCACCAAGAGCTGAGTCATCCCTATTTCTTCCTAGAGGTCTGTGGGAATAAAACAAACCTTTGTTTCACTGAGGGTCTTGGAGGAGAGGATCATTCTCATAGTGGCAGATCTAGACTAAAGATGGGCAAAATTACCAGCAACATCAGATTTCTCGGTGTCTTCTGAGTTTTTCCCCTGAGAGCTGTCTTTTCCCCATTGCATCATGCCTACGGTCATGAATTATAGACTAAATTTTAGTGAGCCTCAGAACAGCTGTAGATTTATCAGCCAGCCACAAGGACCATTTTCACTCATTTCAAAGTTTCTCTAAATGGCTTGAGGGTAAAGAAGTACTTTATTTACCAGAGATTTTTATTCTTATGGCGAATATCAGGTATGTTCACTGAAATGGTAGCACTGAATAAAGATTCAATGGCAATATTTGTAAAGTATTTTCTTCAAGTTGATTCTCTAAAATGGTTTTGGGTTGCATTAAGGAAATGACTTCAGAGAACATAGCTGTCCCTAACTTGTCTCTGTAAGCTTTCAGTACATTTTAAAGTAGGTTTAGTTTGGTTACTGGTTTTAATCTTGGGGTATACTGAGTCTACTGTTACACACTATGTAGAGGATCAAGACAGTTATAAGTTATAATAACAGTGGCACTAAACCAAATTGTATTATAAACAATATGTAACTTGTAAAGCAACCATGTAAAAACAAATGTACTTTGACTAAGGAGCAAAAGTTTCAAATATTATTACAGAATCTCTACAGAGATTTCGAGGTAAAATAATGCACCAACTTCATGATAGCTTCTGCTTCGTTGCCACGAGAGGGAGACATAAGACCAACTATGGCTTAAAAGAGGTCTGGTTTTGTGGGGGTTTTTTAAGACTTTGTGAGTATCAGTTTGATAAAGTTCTTAATAAGATTTTATTTATTTAATCATAAATAAGTAGTCACATAAAAAGATCCAACATTTCTATATTATTTAAAAAAATAAATACACCTTTTAAAACAAGAAACATTTTTGTTTAGAACATAGTACACACTAAAAGCTGTATATAACAGGGTCCTATTTGCCCTCTATTTCTAAGTATACACTAAACACACTGCATGTTTCCTGACTGAGTCATCATCCTAAAATACATGCTAAATTTTCTTGACAAATATCTTAATTAAAGTACCTCCTGCCTGAAATTTAGAATCAAAGTTCTTCATGTTGAAAAGATGGGTCTCAAAGTTTACTTGTTTTGGGATCAAGCTCTGATGAGTGTGAATAATCCATGTATGTGCAGTTACATGAGGAATTTTTTAAAGGAAATATCAACCTTCCCTTTTTTACCACTTTTGAAACATCATGTATTACTAGAAGTTAGCTGTTTAGGAAGAAGTTCAGTTAATGAACTGAATAGAAATTCAGTCAATGAAAGAATATGCATGAAACATAAACACATATTTTAAAATACAGTAAACTCACAAGAGAGTCTGGTGTTTGTTGAAAATCCAAGCATAAAATCCTCCTTGTTAAACAGAACAAGCCTACTGTACTATTAGCAAATACTTAAGTTACGTTGTTCCATTCAACAACCACCAAGATTTCACATATCTGTGAAACTGCTAATTTAAGTTGTCATTAATATGTTCTAAGGTTGGTACAGATGTTGATAACAATTCTTATATATGTAGTCTTACAAACCTGGGATGCTGCCTTCTCAAAGCCATCTGGGTTCAAAGATGGCATGATATGGATACGTGTACTATGGATCAAGTTGATAATAGTTTCATTTCCTTTCTGGTATTCATTACACAAGTACTGAGCCAGGAAGATGAGCAACTCCCTCCCGACGGCTTCATTTCCGTGCATATTCCCAACATATTTAAATTCTGGTTCTCCTGCAAGAAGAAGGAAGAACATGTCTTAGACGAACATATAAAAATCACCCATTGGCTGGATCACAGAGCACACCCGAGGTATGGGTACCACTATCACTACAACTGGCCACAGGATCCCCAGAAAGATACAAACTTCCTTCAGAAATGTAGATTTAGTGTTTTAATAAACTCTGGCTGAACAAACAGTAATTTATATTCACCTGTTTGGCAAAGGTAGAAAAAGAATACCAGAGGGCAATACAGTATGCCAAAATAAATGCTTAACACTGCTATTAACACTACTATTGAGTAGTTGAGATCTTACACAATTGATGTCTCAACACTGCAAAAGAGTGTCTCCATTAGGTAGGTTTCAAATACATAAGCTAACAGAACTTCTTATCTTTAATGTTGCCTTCAATATAAGGTTAAGCTTATCCAACTATACTTGCATTAAAATGCAATTCTGTAAATGTCAGCAAACAGCTGTTGATCCTAGTGATCTGAACAATCTTATTCAGCAAATACTTTGCAGATATAGCTCAGAATTTGTGAAGCAAGTGCAATAACTTAACTCATACAAGTGCAATAACTTAACTCATACAATTAATCATTCCCATTTAACACTGCAATAAACAGTCCAGTATTAAATATATACGTAAATATCCCAGTATATTAATGGAATACATTGAATATTTATGCATATATTTAATGTTGATTTAATATATATCATATTAGTAATATATAATATTCAATGTGTAATATGCATTCAATATATACTCTATATTGAGAGAACACATGTAAATATGCTAACCAATTTTCCCAATTGCTCATTAGTCTCATTCTCATGACCATGGACATAAAAATCACACAAAATATGGAAGGATTTAGCTTTTAAAAGATTACATTTTGAGCCCTGATTCCAGATAAGTTTTAGGATACACGTAAATACTTGAATAAGATTAAAGGGAGTGTCCTGGAACTGCAATAAAGAATATACTGTTTTCTGAGTTGTTCCTTATCCTTTTCCTTTTTAAATGCAGCTTTTCTGCGGTTACAGCTTTAACCAAACGTTCTGCTGATAATATTCTCTGACTAGGTTTTAAACGCATTTTATGATAGCCTTTAGCACTGTTTCAGGAACAAACTGAAGCCAGGAAGAGCTTTACACAAATGAGACCTAAATAACTGCTAATCAAGCACAGAGCCATATCTACTTATGACTCTTCAGTTTGTGCTTGTTAACCTTAATCCAGTGGTAAGATGTTAGCAGAGTGCTATTAATACTGTAACTTCTTTCCTTCCAGCTAAGATGGTTTTGTACATATAGATTCATCCCTGAAATTTTTTGCCAGATAGGTTGAGAAGTTTTCTGGCTTCACTGAAATAGCTTAATTTTATCTGATACACACAATGCCATCACTGTGACTAAACACCTCTATTTTCTCTTTAGGCATTGAGTTCCTATTTACTGCTTCTTCTTGTCTATTAATACTAGGGAATGCAAGATGTCTAATCATCAAGAGTGTTCAGACCATGCAATCAACCTGATCCCCTTAAAATAGATAGATCTTTTTTAATAAAATACACAGCACTATGCATCACATATATTCATAATTAGAATACTCATGTATATGTATATTGGCATGTTACTTATAGGAAAAGAGCTCACAAGCTAACAGGTAAATGTATTATTGTGGTAAATATGAACACGGTTGCATTTTGTACTTGTGGTTTTCCCTAAGACATCACTAAGGAAGCCTGAAAGAGAAATAATTTCTCCGAATTCCCAGCCCTCTGCATTAATCACCTATTTTTCTCTCCCACTTTAATTTTCAAGGCCTGGTTCAAAGGAAGAAATAGAAACATATGTTTGACATAGAGTTTTGCTTAGCCCCCTCCCCAAAGAATCATTAAGAGTGTTTAGAAGAGTTCATGGAAACAATTACGGAAGGGTTCTATAGTGAACCAAGAGAACGGCTTCGTCTACAGCATATCTTCAGTGGTAATGATGCATCTCAAAAGAGCATTAAAAGATAAAAGAGGTTTAGGAAGATGCAAAAATAGACTCAGTGGAAATACAGAAAGTTTTTCCTATGAAAAGTAATTGAAGATATCAGCCCCATTTTCCTTAGGAAGAATAATAAAGGACAGTCAAATACACCAACCATTATGGCACAAAGGAACTGGACTGGAAAGCAGCATTTCCCTACACCACTAAACAAGAGACAGTGATTTTAAGTGTGAAAGGGAACAATGACCATTTTTAGACTGATTAAAAAAAAATAACATTCCTTATAACACAAAACGTAAAACCAGTATTCAAAGAATCCAGTTGGCAGCAAGGTGTCAGCAGAACTCCAAGTTCTGCTAGCAAGCCAAAAGCTAAAATACTGGTCTAAATGAAAATGCAGCCTAATGAAAAGGGAGAGCCAAGTAACAGCCCTGCTTCAAAAATTAACTCTGTATTCATATTTTAGCTACCCTAGGCATTTTCTTATACCTTTCTCTGAAGCAAAGAACTGCATCTCCTAATAATACTAAGGCTGCAGAGAACAAGGCTGTGCAGTCCATATGCATGAGAACTATACTCTGCCAGCCCCCACCTAGCCCTGCCCATTTCCTTACTTGTGGGCACAGTAATCAAAGAAATACTGAATTTCTGTTCAATAGCAGAAGATATTGAATTTCAGACTGTATCTGACAATTTTAGGAAAACTCTTCATCATTTCATCCGTGTGATTTACATCTAAAGGAACAATGGAAAAATGGGTCTTTCTCATATCTAAACTTTGCAGCTGCTTCAAGAGAAACAACTCCGCTTTTACAGTTTATTTCAGCTGGCTGTGAAGGAGCTAGCAGTTCAGTCATTAGATGTCCTTGCTCATCATGGGCAAAGTCAGAGAATCCATTCTGGAAAAAGGGATAATTCTGCCAAAGTCATTAGTTATCACAGTGCACAAAAAGCTGAGGGATCTTCCACAGGCTACTATCTGCTGGTATGACTTTGCAGTTAATGAAGCCTTATTTCTGAATTTATTTCTGTTATTTCTGAAAACCTTTTTTTCTGAGTTGCTTTTACCTAACTTCTTTCCTAATCATTTCTTTATGCAGGACAGTGTCCAAAGCTGGAGAGCAGACTGCTAGCTGAAGCCAACAGAAAAACACCCATCACTCTGCTGGCCAAGTTAAGCCAGCCCAGCTGCTTGAGCTTCAGTGAATAACTGCAATGCAGCCTTGCATCACAGGCCAACTCTGGCTCCTGATGGAACCAACTCCTACTCCACTGCATCACTAACAAAGATACTTCAAACACAGAGGATGCCAGCCACCTGGTCCTTAAGTCTTAACACTTCCTGGGTTCCTTGGTCTGTTCACTGAATACATCCTGCCACACCATTTCTACAAGCTTCCGGCTTCTCTGGCAAATGGCCCACTTCACTGGAAAAACAGCCTTTGGCCACCTGTTGCTAGCATGCTACTTAGCAAGGGGAAGAGCAGCTCTTCCCATTAATCCTACATGAGCCATTTAATGCAGACCTTAATCACCCTTCATAGGATTCTGACACTATAATTGCCTCACATTTATTTTTTTATTATTAAAAAGACTCCGTAAATGTCAATTTGATGAAGAACTTTTAAACAGTTTCTTCAAACCAGTAGAAACACTTCTGTACCACTGCAGAACTGAAGAAACGTAACTGGCTTTTCTCATTTAATTGACCCACACACAAAAAAGTAAAATTGTTTTAAAGGATTCCCATGGTCCAAGACATGATAAACACAAATGAACATTTCTGTTGGTTGAATATTTAAAATTCTTATTTAATGAATTTTGTTAATTTTCTGACAATATATCCTGACAAGTGATAATCACATCCACAACAGCAAAAGTATGTCTTGTGTAACAATGTATGATATTTATAAATGCTTACACGTAATTTCAGCTCAGAGGTTTGTGATAACAAATGAATAGTGGATACTACCACCTTTCTGGGCAAGTCATAAGAAATGAAACACAGCAACCAAGTTTATAAATACCAGAGTAACTCTGGTGAAACCTAAGCCATCGCATCATTAAGGCTTTTAGAAGGCCTTTTATTTTGCCCTTAGATGGACTGTGTGGTTCATTACAACCAGATGAACGATTGAGGAAAAAGTACTTTAAAATGTCATGCCTTTCTGGTTCCTGACAAACACTGTGAAATGTCACCATTTGCTTCTGTAGTTACTGCCAGCTAAGGTCTTCTGCAGTTTCTTAGGAACAGTATGTACATCACTAATACTAGACAGATCATCCAATTAGAGATGACAAACTACTGCCATTTTCAGGTCAGGCTGTGTTTATGCGGTAAAGACAGTAATTTTCTAAAACATAGGGACAAAAAGTTTAGCACCTACTAATCATATATACTAGGAGTCAAGGTAATGTCATGCTACTTTTCATGATCCAGTGTCAAGCAGTTAACCTTAAAATGCACAGTATTTCACTCATGGAAGTGCAAGCTGTATATAAGAAAAAAAATTAACTACTGGGAAATTTAAGTGTTTAATGAACTGTTCTGCAAATCAGGATCAAATACCCTTAAAAACTAGCATCCATCTTCTGCTTTCCTGTGTTTCTTTAAGGAAAAGCCAACAATGTTCCTGAAGGAGTAAGACTAAGTGGTTTTGACTACCTACAGTTGCTTGCCATTTTTCATGGCAATCAATACGTTTTTCTTGTAGATAAATGGCATGGAAAATCTCAGAACCCTTCCTGGCAAGAAATTCATTCATTAAATGTGACTGAAGGCTTTCTGATGCTTCACATTTTTGTTAGCATCTTAAAAAGAAAGAAATTCTCTGGAGACCAACTATGTGGAAAACCAAAGAAAATGAGTTTCTCCTTTGAATATGAAAGCAGAAAGAGGGAAAGAATAAAGTAAATGAGAAGGTGAGATGGGAAAGTGAAGAAATTAAAAAATTTACATTTTAACACCCTGCAAACTAAATGTCTGCAATCTGCCTCAACAGTATTT